GAGAGCTCCTTGACTCTCTATTGCTCGGCATATATTCTCCCCAAGTGCACCTACTCTGATTTCTGTTTTGCTACCAATTTGGATAAATGAGTTTTCTTTGATAATTATTATGCATGTTCATTATGGAACTGGTATTTGATGGGAATGAGGGTCAAACTTTGGGGTCCTGTTTCTAACCCCCAATAACATAATGACAATCAGAAATTAGCTCAAACCTGATCATGTCCTCTAGATAAACAATATTTAAAGGAGCAGGTAAATATGATTCTAGCCTCCTACTCCCTCTCTGAAGAGAGGAGAGTGGCATTAGTTCCAACTTCCTGCTTCCCCTCCAGGCAGGAATTAAAATCTCCTTGGAGGAAGGTGGGAGAAGAGGCTAGAAATGTTCATTCCGCCTCCCTTTAAGCTACTCAATGATCCTCCCATTCTACTTGCAGGGGAACAAACTTCAAAATCTCTGTTATTGAATTTGAAGTTAATATTCAGATGCACACGATTTTTCATTTATAACCCCTGTTATCCCCCAAAAATAGCTATTTAATTATTTTCTTACAAGATAGCCATACTTTTTATTATCTATCATTCATTCAACAAATAATTGTTTGGAGTGCTATGCCGTGCAGAGTAGACTAGAGGAAATGTTCAGAAGTACAAGGTACAATTTCTGTTCATCAAGAACTTACTATCCAATTGAGGAGATCTCATTTGTACAAATATGTATGTATCTATGTATACAAAGCTATCAATTATCTCAATTTTGTTGATTAAATTTTCTTAAAAGAACATTTTTGTTTATTTAGAGTTCTCTAGCTGTCTAAATAGTCACATTATATGCAAATGAAGATTTGCCTATACTTATTACATTAATTTTTCATATCACATTGATATAGCTGGGATTTCAAACAATATGGAAAAAATATCCAGAATCCAGAAAACATTCTGGATTCACCCCTTATCTTATTCAGAAGGCATTCAGCATTTTTCTCCATTACAAATAATGTTAACTAGCTCATGGTCTTAGAGAGATGGTTTTCCTCACACTGATGAAGGTATTTTTATTCCTATGGGTTTTTCCTTATCATTTTAACATAAAAGATATTGTTGTTTTTTTCAAAATAAGTCCCTTCAACATCTATTAATAGAGTTGTTATTTTCATAATTTTTATTAAGATTAATTATGTTTATGGTTTTCCTAATATTGAACCATCTCTGTGCTTCTGGTCTAAGTACAATTAAATCACAGTACATCACAGTAAATAATTTTTAAAATATATTTCTGTAGCCTCTTTAGCAATGTTTTATTTAATATTTTGCATTGATAATTATAGTGATAAGAAGCAGTATATTATAGTGAGGCAGAGAGATTGCCTTAGAGTCAAAATAACCTGGGATTAAGTCCTGTCTCTGATACACACTAGCTGCATCAAATTAAATGTCTGTAAAGCACTTATCACAGTGCCTAGCACATAGTAGGCCCTTAATAAATACGTATTCCCTTCTCTTTTTCTCTGTCTCCCCCACCCCTCCCCATATGACCCTGGGCAAATCTTTTAACTTCTCAGCATCCCAGGAAAATCCCTGAGACTCTGTCAAAGAATATTGTCAGTCTTCAAAAGTAGAGTGTTTTCTCTCTGGGAGCTCCATAATCAGATGAAATCACAGATAGGAAGGAAGGAAGGAAGGAAGGAAGGAAGGAAGGAAGGAAGGAAGGAAGATAGTGATATTGTGACGTACAAGGAAGATAGGTGTCTACAATCCTTAATGGACTCATTTATGCCTCCCTAGAGATTTATAAAATGGTGTAACTCTTCAACTAATAATTCAATGTAAGTTATCAGTTTTCATCTGAAATGAAAATATCACCTATTAACTCAATCTTTTACAATCTTTCCTTTTCATCATTTAAATTGTTTTGTTTTATCCATTATTTAACCAATCATGTATTCACATTTGATATCTATAAACATCATATTATCAATTCTGTATTGAAACAAGTTAGGGGAGAAATTTCCCCCATTCTATACATTTTTTTGTCATTAAACATTTATTAAGTGCCTACCATTACCAGGCACTCTGCTTAGTGCTGGGGATACAAAAAGAAGTAAAAGACCTTGATATATATGAAGTATATATGTAAATAGTCAATTTCAGAAGGTACCCTGAGAGCTGGTACCACTATACATTTCTTTAGGAGGTTAACCCTGCATTCTGAAGACTAGCAACTTCAGGATTATTAAATAATGTGTTTTTATGTGTATTAGCACTGCAACAGCAGCTTTGAAAAAGGACACTTTATTTTGTGGAAAAGATGAATTCCTTCTGCTGTCTCAAAAAGTTGCATGCTACAAAATTAGAAATAATTTCTACATAAGTTCATAAACCTTTGATTTAGAAAAGGAGTGCTATATTCCTAACTAAATCTTTCAAAAGCTAAGAGGCCAAATATTTTCTTGCTGAATTGTCTAAGTATATTCACCTGTCTTCAGTGAACATGCCAATGGGCTGTGTTGTAGTTTAAACAGAATTTTAAAGTGGTAATATCCTTTATTCTACTTATATATCCCCCCTGGAACAAAGTCCAAGATATCCACCACTCCTCATACCAAATTGCATAGCACAGTGGGTAATGTGGCAGCAGGCCTCCAGAATATATATTTATATCTCAAATGTGTAGATACTTTCTTTTCATCTTGATTTTAGTATACTCATGGTTTTGATTAGCTTTAGTAATAAAAGATATAGCTGTCATTTGTAAAATGCTTTGAAGTTGACAAAATGCTTTACCTAACATTATCTTATTTGATCATCAAAACAATGTTCTGTGCTAGGAGCTACTACTATCCCTATTTTACAGATGAGGAAATGGGCTCAGAAAGCTTGATTAACTTGCCCAGTATTCCCCCATAGCTGATAAATGCCTGAGGTGGGATTTAACATGCCAGGACATGAAATATTTCATTATTCAATGCAAATGAGTAAAGCAATTTGCAAGCCTTAAAATCATATATTAATGTCAGTTATTGTTGTTGTTGTTGAATAGCTAATTATGCTACACTTAATTACCTAATAATCTTTAAAGAATGGGGATAACCTCTGAAATCAGGAAGGCATGAGAAAGAGCCTCACCATTCTTAGGTCCCATCAACATAAATCATAGGAATCTAGCCATTCCATACATTGGGAGGTTAAAGAGTTTGTTTGGTTTGGAATGTTTAAATCAATCCATCAACAATAATTTATTAAGCACCTAGCATATGCTAGGCATTGAACAAGGTGCTGGAGATAAAAAGATAAAAGTCAAACAGTCCCTGCTCTCAAGGCGCTTATGTTCAATTAGGGGAGCCCCTTGACTATACAGCATAGAAGCCCAAATGAGACAGTAGATCAGCAATTCATGTGCCTTATATTATTTTTCTCCTTAAATGTTCTGTGTGCTATGGTCCCTAAATCCCAACCTTAACCCCTTTTCTAAGTCCATGAAGTTAATATGCCTGCTTATATAAACACATATTGAGAACTTTCCCTGCTTGACTAGGTCTGGGATTCTTTCCCAATCAGTCCAGGCATTGAGGATAACACAAAAAATTAACAGCCTCACCTTACCTATTGCAGAGAGACAGATTTAGGTTCAATATCAAGAAAAAACTTCCTAAGACATTGAGTCATCTATGGATGGAATGAACTGTCCCAGCAGAGACTGGATTACAACTCCTTAAGCAACAGAAGAGTGGATGACTGCTTTAGGGAATATTTTAGAGGGGATTCTTGGTCAGGTGTGAGTTAGACTAGAGGACCTTAGTACTTCAGTCCCTCCAAGATAGCTCAATCCATCACCTCTGTTCTGATCTCATTTTTTTTCCTTTCATAGTCTTGATCTTATAGGTAGCCAATGCTGTCTTCCCCTCTAGAATCCCTTGACTTCTTGCTCTGTCCCTAGCCTGCTAATCGTCAATGCCATGACATCTGCCTTCTCCAGTCCTATGCTACTGAAACGGGGACATCACAGAATTGTGCTCACTGGATCCACTATTCAACTATCCTTATCTAACTATCTGGGCCCTCCCTGTTTTACACCCTTTCTGTTGTAAAGGCTTATGCATTAAATAACAGGATTGTTTTCATATCTTTTCTTAGCTTAAATGGATAAAAGTTCATAATTGTAGAGCTTATGTATTTTCCTCATAAGAACCCTATGAAGTAGGCAATGAAAATATTATTAAACCCCATTTTATACGTGAGGAAACTTTGAGGTTCAGAAATGTTCCATAACATGAAGTACCTTGGAGTAGTGGAAAGTGCATCAGTTTTAGAGTTGGAAGAGAAATGACAATTTGGGTATTGCCTTGGTGCCACATCTTAGGTAATATACACTGAGGAGCTAGAAACCATCCAGAATGGGCAACCAGAATGGAAAAGGGTCAGGGGGCAGCTAGGTGGCACAGTGGATAGAGCATGGCCCTGGAGTCAGGAGGACCTGAGTTCAAATCTGGCTTCAGATACTTCATACTTACCAGCTGTGAGACCCTGGGCAAGTCACTTAACCCCCATTGCCTAGCCAAAAAAAAAAAAAAAAGAGTGGTAAAGGGTCTCAAGATCAGTTGAGGGAATTTGTTTACCGGGAGAAAACAAAAATAGGAGGGACATGACATCTGTTTTCAAGTGTTTAAAGGACTGTCATGTAAAAAGAGGTTCAGACTTGCTAGAATTAGGTATATAAAAACCAAAAATGAAAATAGTCCCTGTCCTCAAGGATCTTAAAGTCTATAAAATGTAATTTAAGATCCCTTTGTGCTTATTATTTGTTCACTATAAATAAACATTTGTCATATCAAAACAAGACAAAACCTTAAGTACTGTCTTCCAACAATATATCTACCATGAATATGTCAAAATCATACATGATTCCTTAAAAATATGAGATAACTTCATGATCCATTAATTATTAATATTGAGGAAAGTATAAAATAGGATGATATTTATTATTAAATATCTCTTTCATGGAAGATGTTCAGTACAAAGTCCAATTTTTGTGTCATTCTTATTCAGGGACCATGTTAATATTCTAAATATCATTCCAATTTTAATGTATGTACTACCGAAGTGCATGCATTAACAATATTCTAAGTGTGATAGCCAAAATCCCAATAGTCTTTTTTAAGTCTTTGACTTTCCTTTACTTTTCTTTAACTTTTGATACTATTGAGATATTGGATGATCTCGCCTCCTTTCACTTTCTTGGCATTGCTTTCCTCTTGTTCTCCTCTTCCCTTTATGATCACACCTCATTGTCCTTTGTTGCTTCTTCCGCCTTCCAGCCACTGAGCAGAGATACCTCTCAAGGCTTTGACTTTGGTATTTTCTCTATTTGGATTTCTAACTGGACTTGTCTTGATGATTATTTCAGTCTTTGTGACAGTGAGATTTGTAGGCAAATGACTCCCAAATCAAAATACCTAAAATACATTCTGGACTCCTGGCCCATATGAACTCCCTTCCTTCCAGTCAGTCATCTCCACCTAAATGTCCCATCTCAAATTCAAAATGTAACATCATTTTTTTCCTAGTCTTGCGCTTATGGTACACCTCTCTATTTCTGTCTAGCATACTACCATTTTCCCAGTCACCAGGTTCATAACAGTCAATTCAGTCAGAAACTGATCAATAATTAATTGATTGACTGGTTCTGATAGAAAATTTCTATTTTAGTTACAGTTTGCCCTCTAAAATTTTAAGTATGAAACAACACATGCATAAAAATAATTATTATGTGCAGGTTTTAAGGGGAATAAAAATAGGTTTGTTTGTTTTCTTTTTAGCTTTACTTTACATTTCCTTTAGTATCATTTACTCTTTTTGATATTCCACACCTCCAGGTCCATAGACCAGCATTTGTGTGTCCCATCAATATGTTTCAGGGCCAAAATCTTTCCATGGACCAGATAGTTGGAGAATCACTGCATCAAAACAGAGCATTACAGAGTAAGTCAGTGTCTGGACCTAATAGCAAATGGTAAATTTTCTGATTTCATCAAAATTGATACTTTTTCCCTGGAAAGGGGGAAATAGCATATATTGTTCTCTCAGACTGATATGAAACATCTCTAGTAATCTGAACTGTCATATATTGAGTACCTGCAAAGTTCATATTTTGTGAATTCTGGCCTCCTTAGTCATAATAAACATTGATAATATAGCAACAGATAACTGTGAGCAGAAATTACATAAATACTTTAATGAAAAGTTAAGTTCAGGCTGATTAAAAATGGAATCTTAAAACTCCTATTTAAAATTTTTCATTCAAGGATCATCCCTTTTATCTAAAATTGTACAGATTCACTATGACAATCTATTTAGTTGTCAACAAGTCTATTTTACTTTCCTTTAAATTCACTTAGCAGGTTTACACTGAACATGCCTTCTATAAATCTGATAACAAAGAAGATGAAAAAGCAAACAACTAGAGATCTGAGTGATTCTCAAAAATGAGTTTTCACTTAACTAGACCATGTAGGAAGAAACACTCATAAAGTCAGAAGTATAGATATTTATTATGAGTTATATAGAATAGTTTGTAGTTTATAGAAGGTCCTCTACTGGAGATGTATTAGCTATGGTACTAAAATGAGCTCGTTTTTTTTTTAATTTTCTTTGTACAGAGAATATTTTCTGAATGGATGGATAATTTTGTTAGTGTAAGGCAAATGAAAAGCATTGTGGCATAGTGATCATCAGATTTTTACATGTGGTTCTGATTATATCTGCTTCTCTGTGTTTCACACCTAATGTCTTTGTATCTTTTGTTTTATTTTTGTTAAATACATTTACCTTTCCCTCTTACTAGCTGTGTGACTCTGGGCAAGTCACTTAACCCTGTTTGCCTCAGTTTTCTCAACTGTAAAATGAGCTAGAGAAGAAAATAGCAAACCACTCCAGTATCTTTACCAAGAAAGTCCTAAAAGGGATCATGAAAAGATGTACAGGACTGAAACTACTGAACAACAAGAAAAAATGTTAATCAGGAAGGATTAGAGGGAATGGTTAAGTTTTTAGAGAAGATAGGATTTTAGGGAGGAGCCAAGCTGGCAGAGTACAGAGGGCTAATCATCTGAACTCTGCCAACATTCCTCTATAAATAATTTTAAAAATAAAATCTTAAATTGAATTCTGGAGTGACAGAGACAACAAAAGGTCGAAATAAGAAAGTTTTCCAGCCCAAGACTATTTAGGAGGATGGCAGGAGAGGTCTGTGACCCAAGGGTGGTGGTCGGCTTTGAACTCAGCACTTGTAGCTACACCAGCAGAAGGCCTTACAAACAGCAGCAGCTTCAGGAGCTCTTAGCCCACAGATTGTAACGGAGTCAGATAACTGATCAGAAAGAGATTATAGGGGACCCTTTGCTGGCCCTGGAGTACAGGACCCTATTGCATTGCTTATACACAATTCCAGGTCACAGTTCCAGGGTGAAGAAGAATACTAGCGTTTGTGGCCTCAAAAGTCTGTTTTGCTTCTGACCACTACCTCCCTTCATCTGTCCTCTTTTCTATTAGTCTCCATCCTTCTTTTATCCCCTTCCCTCCAACTTTCCTGTTGGGTAAGGTAGATTTCTATTTCAAACTGATTGTGTATATTATTCACTCTTTGAGCCAATTTCAAAGAAAGCAAGGGTCAAGCATTGCCTGCCACCCCCTCATTTCTCCTCCACTCTAAAAGTTCTTCCTTGCATATTTCTTTTATGTGAGATAATTTCCCCATTTTTCCTCTCCCTTTCCCCTTCTCCCATCGCATCCTTCTTTTTTACCCTTCATTTTTTTTAGGTTATCTCATCATATTCAACTCACACCCACGCCCTCATTCTGTGTCTACTCCTTCTAACTGCCTTAATAATGATAAAGTTCTTTGGAATTACAAATATCATCTTCCCATACAGAAAGATAAATTCTTAAACTCATTGAGTCCCTTATGATTTCTCTTTCATGTTTACATTTTTATGCTTCTCTTGAGTCTTGTATTTGGAAATCAAAATTTCTATTCATCTCTAGTCTTTTCATCACAAATGCTTGAAAGTCTTCTGCTTTTCTAAATATCCATTTTTCCACCTGAAGGATAATACTCAGTTTTGCTGGGTACATTATTCTTGGTTGTAATCCAAGCCATTAATGAACTCCCTAAGAAAAAATCCCCAGGACCAGATGGATTCACAAGTGAATTCTACCAAACATTTAAAGAACAATTAATTCTAATACTAAATAAACTATTTGGAACAATAAGCAAAGAAGGAGTTCTATCAAATTCCTTTTATAACATAAATATAGTGCTGATACCTAAACCAGGAAGATCAAAAACAAAAAAAAAAATAAAATTATGGAACAATTTCCTTAATGAATAATTATGCAAAAATTTTAAATAAAATACTAGAAAGGAGATTGAAGCAATATATCACAGAGATCGTGTATTATGATCAGGTGGGGTTTATAGTGGTAATGCAGGGCTGATTGAATATTATTAAAACTATCAGCATAATTGACCATATCCATAACAAAAACAACAAAAATCATATGATTATATCAATAGACGCAGAAAAAGATTTGACAATATACAATACTCATTCCTATTAAAAACACTGGAAAGCACAGGAATAAATGGAGCTTTCCTTAAAATGATAAGTAGTATCCTATCTAAAATCATCAGCAAGCATTATCTCCAATGTGGATAAGGTAGAAGCCTTACCAATAAGATCAGGACACTGTTTGCAAGACTAATGGGGGGTCCACATTACCACTCTTATTCAATATTGTATTAGAAATGCTAGCTATAGATCAGTAAGACAAGAAAAAGAAATTGGAGGAATAAAAATAGGCAATGAGGAAACAAAACTATTACTCTTTGTATATGATATGATGGCATAGTTAGAGAATTCTAGAGAATCAACTGAAAAACTAGTTGAAACAACTTCAGCAAAGTTGCAAGATATAAAATAAACCAACATAAAATCATAAATTGGAATTACAAATATCATCTTCCCATACAGGGCCATGACCAGTTGTTCTGACCTGTGTCTTGCCACTGGACTCCAATGACTCTGGAGGACAGAGTGAGGCTGGTGACTTTGCACAGCCCTGCCTCACTTAAATCCAATCCACTTGCAAGTCAAGACATCATTCTCCTGATGCCATTGGTCCTCTTGGAGAAGGAAGGACAAATAACAATCTGTGAAGAGGAGCAGCTGCCCCACTAGGGACCCAACCAGCCAGTTCCAGTTGGGCAATGCTGCTATTTCCTTCCTTCCATCCTTCCTTGTTCCTCATCCTCATCCTCTCCCTTTGTCCACATGGGGAAACATAGCCTTATATGTGGGTGCTCTTTCCAAAGGAATATAAATTTTCACTGCTTAAACCTTGCAAGATATCTTAGAGATTGGGGGGGGTTAGATTTTTTCTTTTCTTTTTTTCCCTTTTTTCCCTACTTATTTGTTCTATCTTTTTTTTTCAAAAAACTGGGACAATTAACTCTTGTCTCATGTAGTTTTCATTTATGATTTCTTGAAGTATAGCTCCGAAAAATCAGGCTTTGATAAAGCCCACTGGGATTCAAATGGAGCTACTCGACTATACCTCTAAACCCAAATCATTCTGGCTTTCACTGATTGGTCAATAATAGGTCCCAGCCCAAGCTTCTCTTCATCATTGTCTGAGTTTTTGATGGTTCAGAGTGGGTGTAAATAACAATTGTTTCTGCTCTGACCAGAAACTCTAAGGGTCCCAGATTGATTCTTTTGAGAAGGCAAACTAGGCTATCTTTTGCCTCAATTCTTACCAGCCTTTAATCACTGAATGGGTGTTGCCTCAGACAAATTGATATCTGAGAAAGACTTTAGCTTAAAAAGGCCAATGTCTCCCACTCCATCCAGGGCCATCACTAGTCAACCTGACCTATGTCATACCACTGGTCTCCGAATGACTCTGAAGGAGAGAGAGTGAAGTTGATTACTCTGCATAACCCAGTTTCACTTAAATCCAATTCATTTGCAAGTCAAGATATCACTCTCTTGATGTCATTGGTTCTATTTGAGAAAGAAGGACAATCAACAATAATTATCAACAAAG